AATATTATCGTACCGTTTTCGTTAAATCGCAATCGCTTCAAGACATCATTCTAATGTAGCTGATCAAACGGGCCAAATCAAAGGGCATATATAATATATTATACATAAGTAGCGTTCTGTAATTAAATTACGTATAGGAAACGACAAAGTAATTAAGATGTACGTGGTAAACCACTAGTTGTTGTTCAAAGTAATTATTGTATAGGTAGTTCCTTTGTATCAGATGAATCTGAAATCGACTTAAAAATTTTAATTGAAACAATGATTATATATAAATATATATAAATTCAATAGACATTGTATTACTACAAATATAGGTACACGAATAAAGTTATTTGCATTATTCATCACGATATCTTATAAAATATTAAAATTTTAAATAATTTCACTTAACTCGCGAGTGACAAGGCAGGGTAGTATTAAATTGTCTCCTTATTATAATTTATTATTCATTAAATAACGACAATCATATTATATTCGTTGGTATTTAAACAGTACAACAATAATATATTATATTTTGTATGATAATATACAACAATTTACTTTACAGTTACATATTTTATTTAAAAATATCTTTAAAGAGATTTACAATTTGAAAGAAATAATATTTATAAGTCCAGTGGCGAGCACTGAAGAGTTCAAGGGTAGCAGTTGCTACCCCTGATTTTTTTGGTAGGTGGGTGGGTGACCCCTAGTTCCAAAATATTTACAATATAAAAATTCTACTACTTATAAAAATATGTAAAATAAACTATTGAATAACTATAGGCTATAGCCATTAGTCTATTAGCCAATATAGAGGTATCCGATTCAATTATATGCTTCCCGTTAAATCAAATGTTAAATTTTTTATTTTCAGTGTTAAAAAATAAAATTAATTGTTTGTATAATATATATGTGTGATTATAAATTATATATAAAAAAAATTTTAAACATTGATTAGAAAAAAAGTTATTCCAAAAGTCAGTTCTATCTATTACAGGTATATAATAAGTATTTACGACATACTTATGTAGGTACCTATATACTATTACCATACAGTGAGACCTGTAAATACCGGAAACTCTTGTCTCTCGGTCACTGAAATTGTCTTCCCCATTCAGAGGGTTCAGGCTGTAGAAAATCAATAGTTCTTTATTTCCTAAAAAAACGTCTGTTATTTGGATGTGTCCGCTGTTAGGTGAAGGTTTAGCTTGGTATGTAATTTCTACCAAACCTAGGAATAACTAATACCGTATAAATATCACGTTTAAAATATTTCCCACGTCAGTTACAATAATATTAAGTACCTACCTAGACAGTGTAATAATACATGTGTGATTAACAATGTACGACCATCGCAAGCATATGAAATGTACATACAAAGTCACTGTAATTTATGTGTTAAAAGCACTTAAAACTGAACTTAATTATAAATCATTGCATATATAGGTTAGGTTAGGTTAGGTTAGGAAAAACTATTCTGAGCTAAAACGAATGACAATCCTATACCAATTAGTTATTAGTTATTATATTTATTTTTTATTACATATTTATATTCTTATCATAGTAATTTATTTTACTGTAGCGCGGTAAGTTTAATTAATTTTTCCAATTGCCAAAATTGTATTATTGATATTTGATCATTGTGCTAATATAATATATTATTATATATTGTATTTACATTTTGAGCCAATACCGATTACCGGCTTACAGAAGAACGGTGTGAATAGTTTCATAGCATTAATAAAAATTAATCTGAACGCTTTAAAAATGTAATTGTGTATTTTTAATATAGTAATAAATAATAATAAATACATGAAAAATTCAAACCTCTACGAAAAATCTTTTTGTATTATAACAAAATAACTATATTATCACTGTTATTATTCGTTAAATATCTAATTTCATCCTAGTTTGAACTTAAAATGTCTATAAAAAAATAATGATTAAATATTTCCTAGATTTTTTGATTCCAGAATGAATTCTACTTATGAAGAACCTTGAATTAAGTTTTAAAGTCTTGCCCATAAGAATAGAACATTTTATACATTTTTCACTAACAAATGATTTGCAAATTGTCATGATATTTATGAATTTTGTCAAAAATCTCAAATTCAATTTCTTGTAAAAATCCCGTATCTATAGAGGTAGTGTATAATATTATAATTATAATTATACATATTATGTATTATTGATATTTTTTCTTCTCCCTCTTCTTCTTGTCGGGTACGAATTTATATTTATTAAAATTAAAACATTATGTTTTATTGGAACCCAAAATATAAATCACTCAATTTAATGGTTGTGTTTGCACCCTATTGATTATCGTACCCGACATATTTTATTGAGCTTTGTAATAGCTGCGTGACTTAATTTTATCGAACTTGTAACATTTTTTACTTGGAAGTTACCTACTGAGAATTTTGTTATTTTCAAAAATGCTGGGTGGATTATGGTTATCTGATTACGTTACACATATAGCTGAAAGCACATATTATTGAAATGGGAACGCCACTGGGACATTTCGTGTTATTGTACCTTTAATAAATTTACATATCACATTATCACACCTTTGGTAGGTACAAAGTTCCTGAGTAAACATTTTTTCAACAAGTATACGTTAAATTGCATTAAGCATAAATTATGCATTTATAGACAAGAAATAACTAGGTCATATCGTAAATATATTTACCGTCAACGAAATATCTCGACGGTTTCACTATATTATGCTACGACGATAAGTATAATATTATGCACGCTACTATAGAAACATTTTTTATTTCATCTTCGAGTTAAAGTTAGGTAAGTCTTAATTTTCTGTTCTCATTTACCCACATAATAATTTGCCCTATAGTTAACAATTTAAATCGACAACGCATCAGAATTAATGTACAATATCGTTATTCTTTAATATTTTCGTCGATTGTATAATATTTTAAATATCGTTTTATTAGTTATCACAATATTTTATCGATAATATTGCCATTAAAACATCATTTGTCATTCCTGTCAGCTGTCATGCTTGTCTCTACGGTGTATAACCGTTAAAAAAAAGTTAAACTTTTACGTAAAAACAATCGACGATTCTTTAAAATATTTGTTTGATTGTCTTAATACATGTTTTATTTAAATAAAGTAAAAACTATATTATAAATATTTAAACAAGCTCCATTAGTCAATATGAAATAAAGATAATTGCAACAATATTTACTAAAAATATAAAAAACATTTTAGAATTTTTCAAATATTTAGTTTTACAAAGTACATATTATTACCTAAAATAAAATTCATACATTTCATTTTCATATACAAATAAAATATCCAGAGAAAATAAATACTTTATATTAAAAATGAAAACTCGGAAAATCGCTGTGCTGCATAGTATTATTATAGGTGTCGAATATTCCTCGTCATTGAGTAGGTTAGTCGGTTAGTGTGCACTGAAAGTTACAAACCATCGATGGTCTGTTGAATTAGTCCAAATAGAATCCAATTTCCAACCAGAAACTACCCTCAAAGTTTGAGATCAATGCATTTTTTCTACTACAGTGTCTTCACACACACACATCATTATAAAACCAATACATTCATCTCTAAATTATAATTAAATTATTTCATAGAACCTAAAAACTGCATTAAGTAATAGCAGTATATGGCATATTATTTACCATAATATACGAATGTACTATGTATTTATCATCTGATCATTATTGATGGACGTCACAAAAAATTATAGGTATACCTAAGACTGTTTCGAAGAGGTTCTCACGAGTTTGTCGTGTTATATTCCTGCCAACACTTAAACATGCTGACGATGAAATAATCATCTTTTTATAGAATTTTAATATTTTATTGTATCAAAACCTAGTTATGTTTATATATGTTTTAATGATTTTCATCGCGCCCTCTAACCTCTTGTATTAAGTACGGTCCAAACCGCCATTCATAAACGAGAAGTGCGAAATGTCAATAATGTCATGGAAAAAATGACGTCATCAATATCATATGACACCCATACGTTTTGTGGTTTTTTTTTTAAATTTTGTGGTCATGTAATAAATTACCTTTGAATATTGTGACGAGAGTTATAGGTACACCTTCTGCGATAATTTCACCCTTTTACGCACATTTCAAGGCACGTTCATTGACGCGTTCGGTTCGATTGAAATGTCATTCACATAAAACGCGGCTTAATTATAATTTAATATGAGTGACGCTTCACCCTAAATTGAAATTGTGTGTCGTAATATAGTCGTTGTCAGTGAATATTATACTCGCTATAAACTGAAGTATTATCGGTATTTAGTTGATCACACGTGGTCTTCGTTAGTCACAAACCGTCTGAACCAATTAAAAAAAAAAAATACAACTCATCATCTCTTATGAATACATTTTGGAAACCCATATATAGATCAATTAATAATAATATGTGAAATTGCCCTCGTTATAATCGAACTTGGTGAGGACAAAAATCATATTAGGTACTCCCAACAGTCAGTGGAAAAAATCTGAGCTACTGCTTGAGCATAATATATAGCATATATATGGCTCAATAGTTTGTTTTCAGATTACAAATATTATATTTTTTTTTTTATTTTTTTTTTTTATTGATAACTAATGCCTCGGTGACTGGGGCCATTGGCTACATACAATTACATATTATTTGCATTAAAGAGGGGGATTGTTACATTGAATATAAACTTAAACATAATAATAGGTATTACGATGAATAAATAGGGCTGCATATAGAATTAACAGTAATACATTACAGGAGAGTGTACAATGCATTTAAAGAAAATATTATTCTATACATTTTTTTTTTTTTTAATTTTATTTTGAAGTTCTATATCCCTGAGGAATTTTAGAACTTTAGTTGTACCAATGTTAAGGTTTTCAGCAAGATGGTGGGTTAAATTATATTATATTGTGTGTGGTCGTCCTACTAAAATTTCAACTCGTAACCACTGTTGGGCCGTCGAAACGTTGTCGCGTGTCTTTACAATCGTAAAAGAGTTGTTTCACGAACGATGCCGTATGCTTATGCTGTGGACGGTCGTGGTACACATCGAAATGAACGTGTACGATAAATGAGGGAATCGGCACAAGCAAGGGATTTCGATGGAACAAGCGTCGCCGTACGCGTGTGGCCATGTGGCCGCAGTGTTCCCAGTGATGCGCTTCTCCGTTCCGCCTCCGGGTTTTGCACCGTCCCGCGCAACACGTCGCGGCCACTCAAACGGCCAAGGTCCTCGGCGACGCATCACATCGTTTGAAATCGAGCCCCGGCTAGAATATTATGTTTTTCGACGAGCATCGATACAATTGTTGTTATTTTTCGCATGTTATTGATCGCAAAATAACAATTTGTCGTTTGTGATTTACAGCGCTCAAAAACTGTGCAGCAACACATATTGACCGTTTGTCATTTGATGACAAATTTGATTTTTGATAAAAAAAAATAAATGACGATTAATGAATAATATTATTGAATCGTAAGCTATCATAACGATTTGATAAAAAACCAATATCAACAGTTGTGTTGAAATTTTACTATTTTCACTACTGCTCTATTTTCTACCAGTTTTCCGTACATACCGTTTATGTATATATTCACTAAAAATCGACATTATTATTGAGTGGACAAATTAAAGTTCCTACTCGAAAATATAGTGGTTAAAAAAAACACATCGTCTTATGTGATAGTCCATACATGGTGTACAAAATTAAGTATGCAAGTTCCTTTGCGGATATTTTGATGTTATTAAAAAAAAAAACCCAAAAATTCAATCGGATGTGTGATTAAACAGGTTTGAGATGCATGCCATATCAACGCTCGTGATGTGATTATTTTTAGAAATTTCGCTGAAAGTGCAGTGGCTGCCCTTTGTTTGTATTTTTTTTTGGAGTATTAATCTATCTTTTCAAACACTACATAATATAATATATGCGATATGCATATTGATACCTACCAACATATATTACATATTAATATAATTATTATTATATTTACATTTAGCGTGGTCGTGTGTTAAGATGGTTTTTTAAATGACCAATTTGGAACTTTTATAAGTTCGTGCGTGGGTTATTATAAATATACAGGCAAATAGACTCCCACGTACCAATACATATACGAAAACGAGGTAAAATTGGTCAGTCCATACGCGTGGGTCGTGGGGATGTTTCCCCTTAAAAGTAAACAACATAATATTATCATTACTCAATGAGGTTATGTAATGGTCTTGGTTTTTTATCAAAAAAGGATTTACTATTTTATTCGTTTAAATAATATATTGCATCTATGCTCGAATATAGTTACGATGGTAATTGATTTTAGTTAAATATATATAACAAAACATTATTTATTGTATATATTTTATTTATTTAATATGTATGATTGATTTCTATTATAAATTAGTGTACAAGTACACAAATGAGAAATTCGTTTTTTCTAAGTATGCAATAATCAAATATTTATAAATAAAAATATTTCTAGGAAAAAGTCAGTATAGTATAATATTTAGGTACCTATTAAGTTTGTTCAATTAAATTTCGTATTATTAATGGCAAAGGACAAACGACCAGTAACAATATTAGGAACCTATTTTATGTATGTCTTATATATTTCGTACTGGGATTGTTGTAATTGATTTCACATTATCGAATTTACTAAATCAACACATTAATTATATACTAATATCATACTACCAAAAAATTGAAAATGATAATCTTTACTTTTAAGTTTTAACTGTATTACCTAATTTATTAAAGCTCGGAAATTTATAGTATGACACAACCAAAATTACTAAGAATTCTAAATTTCTACATGATGTCATATTAATTAACACTGGTAATTTTTATTTTTGTATACGTACCTAAACATTTTTAAATTATATAAATATTATTAGAAGGTACATTATAATATAATATTATTATATACACTATACAGTATAATTATTAATAACTCAAAGGTTGACACGAACAGATAATGTTAATGTATTAAATATAAATGAATGTAAATTTGTATTCACTGCTGTGCAGTTTTATAATAATTCCTTGTACGGTGAGTAAGTCGACTTACAAACTTTTTCACACTCGAATCACGTTATGTTTTATAATCTACCCACAATCCCACCTTTTCAAAGTATGAAATTTTAAAAAAAATACCACACTCTAAATAATTTTTCTCCACAAATTGGAAAAATTCATCGTGTACCGTGCATTATTAAATGTGACTCAACATCGAACTTGGAAACGTATTATGCACTTCCGCGCTGGATACCAAAAGAAAAAAAAGCAAACTATTTATCTTATTTATATAGTTATTGACTTATTATATAGTTGAATTGAATGTATATACAGCAGAGGACCGTACTTAGATGAATAACATTTTATAATTTATGTTATTATTTCTTGCTTATATAGTATAATATAGATAGGTATAACAGATACAAAGAAACATTTACTTTATGACATTTTTTTAGGGTTCCGTACGGTAAAACGACTAAAACGGGACCCTATTACTAAGGCTCCTCTCCTGTCTATCCGCTCATCCGTCTGGCACCATGAAAGTTAGAAAGTTGAAGTTTTCACAGATTATGTATTTCTGTTGCCGCCATAACAACAAATACTAAAAATCCTAGAATATATAATATAAGCAGTGTTGCCAACATGTTTATAGATGTTGGTACGGAACTCTTCGTGCGCGAGTCCGACTCGTACTTGGCCGGTTTATTCTTTTTATATGTTAATAAATAAAATTGTTAAATATTAATGAATATAAAATTTAAAACTAATGTCTGTTTTTAAATATTTATATTTCCTTTTCACATATTATCAAGTTAATACCAAGTGCTTATGTTATATCATGGTATAATATTTTTAACGATATGATTAAAAATATGATTTGCTTCAATTTAATAAAAATGAATTTGACTAGAAAATTTTCTAATCAGATATTTTATAAATAAATATATTTTTAGTAATTCGTTTATTGTTTTAAATTAATTAATCTACATTTTGCTGGTCAGTAAAAATAGAAAGTACCTCTATATTATTAAAATAATTATAAAAAAAATACTATTTCATATAAAGTTGACTGGAAATAAATTGGAAAATACTTTTAAAAAAAGTGAAAACAATACCTACTACCTTTTATTATATAGGTCTATTTATATGAAATAAATCCTTAAAATCTCTTCAAACGTAAAGTTTACCTTTTAGGACTGAATGAAATAAAATAAAATTTTTAATTTTTTTGTGTGAACATTTAACTACATAATTTATTGTTCTATATCCTATCGGAATTCCTGAATGAGTTGCTACAGTGGGACCTCATGCTTACATAGTTATTATAATTAATATGTGATACATTTCATTTGTAATAATACAATTATTGTAACCATTAGTATAATTATTTTAATTGTCTATTACGTACAGTAGGTATCTAATATTATATTCATTAGTGCGATTTTAATCGTCAAAATGTTTGTTTTGCTCAATCATAAGTACACATACACGAAGAGGAAGCATTAGTAAATAATAGTTATGATTTAATCCAATAAAGTAATAGTTTAAAAAAATCAGATATAGGTACATATTATAACGGTTATTGCAAAAAAGTTATAAACTGATGATTTTTTTTAATTTTCATTAGATTGTGAGTCTTTTTTCAATATATATTAATTTGTCTAGTAATCATGTTTATATAGGTGTAATTGGTTTACGATAACGCGAAAATGGCCAGTCATGTATGTGCATTGTATATAATAATATTTGTTGACTATCTACCGGTTATCGGTCGAGAATACTAGGTAGGTATATAAAACATTTTAATATGGTCGTTACCGGACTACGATTCATTTATTAATTGATAATAATAATTATCAATTGATCGAAAAGGGCACATCGAGTGGCAAAGGGTTCGGAATTTTAATAGGCTACAAATAGGACGCTTTAGAGTGAATAGTCCGTGTATCGTTAATAAATAATCATTACCTATTGGACTATACCTGTACATTATAATTTGTACGAAACATTAAAACAACGAAACTGACTAGAACGATGTATATGATCATCGGTGGGGAGGGGGGGGGGGCAAAGAAATTTAAAACGCATTGAAAATCGAGAACCAGTAAACATCATAAAAACCTTTAAAAATATAATAATAAATAGTATAGCTGGTTATAGTCGTTTAGTCGAAACCGATTCTTTGGCCGGCGTTCCGATTAGGCAATTCAGGCACGACAATGTCAAGGGCTCCGGGCGCCATAACTCACTCCCACCCGACACTATACGCACTACACACGCATACATATTATAAAAATACAAAATAATATAGGTAATACTGTAATTTATAATAATATGATAGACGTTGCCATTATTATATACAAAACTATTTTATAACAAGCACTTATTAATTGCATTATATATAGTAGGTATACTTTTAAACGAATAATTATAAAACGTATACGCTCTAGGTACCTATAGAACATAGGTATATACTTATACGGTAATACAAATGTACCTGCGTTGTAACGATAATATTCAGGGCCGGATCAACATATTATTAGGTGCAAAAGGTGCGAATTTCTCCGGGACGCCGACTTTGGAGGGGCGGTCACATTTAAACTAGGTACATATACAAACAAATTAGATGTTACAATTATAGTTATTTATTTATTTTGAATAATGTTAAAATATTTTAATATTCATTTTTTTGTTTCACTTTTAATTTAGACTTTGAAGAAGTACCAACCTAATAACACAATATAAAAGCATAATGGTTAGCCATAATGGTATTTTCCATCCGAAAGCTAGATATAATTTGGTTCATTACACAATGATTCAAACAATCATCATATAGGTAATAGAAACACGTTGCCCATAAAATATATAGAAACAGTTTTAAAAATTACTTGCATTCTACGTTCTTCAAATGCAAGTGTGAAAGATTGTTTCCTGTCTGTAAAAAACTATTTTAGAATATCATTAATTTTTGAAAAAATGTAATTTTTTTAGATATTATATACTAAGATGATGATAAGGACCTGATACATCAATTTGACACCAAGAAAAAACCTACCTAATTAAAATAAAATATTTCAATTTTTTTTTTTTTAAGAATTAGATTAATAACATTATACTAATATGCATTATAGGTGCTAATAGAAAGAGGCGTTATAAGTTCAATTCTTCCCAAAAAAAAAAAGAAAAAGCCCCCTCAAGAATAATTAAATAAATCAAAACATATAAAAATGGAGGT